TAATGAAAATATCTTATTGTAAAAGTTTCAGATTAGTTCGATTACACTATTTTGTATAAATAACATGCTTATATAATAAATCATTATAATTAAAGTCTATTTCTATTCAAAGTTTTCAAGTCAAAAAATTTAGTTTTCCTTTGATATTAATATTTTCTAAAAATTCATACAAACATATATAATTTCGAAGTTAAAATCAATTTGATATATTCTTTAATAAAAAACCTTCTAAATTCATATTATAATATATAGGAATGATGATGATGAATGTGAATCATTACCAAAAAAACATTCAAATGATAATCATTATCAACAACATATACGTCGACGTTTACCAAAACGTTATAGTGATATAGTTGGTCCATCATCAAATAAAATTTATCTTCCAAAACGAGATTCAATTAATCGAAATAAACAAACAATAAATTCTTTATTACAATATAATCATCAACATACATCATTTAAAAAAAAATCTAATGATGGTTTATATATAATTAATTCAAATAATAAAAAATCTATTGATTTATTATCATCATCATCATTATCAAAAACAGATATAAAAAATCATTCAATTGTTACACGTCGATATAATAGTAAAAATAAATGTTTATTAAAAACAAATGCTGTTGATCTTCTTGCACATCGTATGCAAGCAGCTATGAGTACAGAATTAATGCATTCACTTGATAGAAATTTTGTTTTTGGTGATAAAAAACAATTAACTAATTATTCAAATATAAATCGTTCACAATCATTTCATATATCAACAACATCATTTGATCAATGGCAAGATAAATCATTAGAAAAAGAACATTTCTATCATGTTATACCACGTATAAAACATCATTTAGATGATGAACAAAAATCTATTGAAACAATATCATCATTCGATGAATTAACACCTGATTATGATGATGATATTATTATTCGACGAATAAATAATAATAATGATGATATTGATGAAGAACCTATTATTGATTATGATGATTCAAAATCAATATTAATTCATAATATTGATGATAAATTAATAACACCTCCAACACTTTATGATCTTGGAGTTACATCATCTTTTATTGTTCAACAAACATCTATAACACCAAGTAGTGAAACTTTTACACAAGAACAATCATCAATACCACCAACACCACCACCATTACCAAATATAACAACAATACAACAAAAGAAATTAACATTTCGTTGTCGTACTATTGCTGATAGAATAACAGCTGATCATAAACTTATTTTAAAAGATGATATAGAAACAATAACAGAAGTTCCAGAAGAAAAATCATTAGGTAATTTTCTTGATAATCAAAAGTTTATGTCATTAGATAAAATAGTTTACAGCATAAAAGTCGTACTAGAGAACATTTTCAACTGTCAAATCTCTTTTGAGTTCGGACTTTGTACATAAGATAGATTCTAGCGCGTTATGAAAAATCTCAAGAGATTAAATCTCCTTAGGTCTTTTGTCCAGAGTTATAGGCATTTTATTGGAAATTTAGCCTAGAGAATAGTATATATGAACAAATTGAATGACGATGTTTCAGTCTGAGATTTTGCCCACTGGCAGGTCTATTGGCGATTAGAATATCCTGAAAATTTCAGCTCAAAAGAACATTTCCTTCCGGAGATATTAAAGTCCCAAATATAACTCATATAGGACAACAAATGCTAGGATTTTCTGTTGTTTGAGACTTTAATATCGCCGGAAGGAAATGTTCTTTTGAGCTGAAATTTTCAGGATATTCTAATCATCAATAGACTTGTCTATAAGCAAAATCTCAGACTTAAACGTCGTCATTCAATTTATTCATATATACTATGCTCTAGGCTAAATTTCCAATAAAATGCCTATAACTCTAGACAGAAGGCCTAAGGCGATTTAATCTCTTGAGATTTTTCATATCTCGCTAGAATCTATCTTATGCATAAAGTCCGAATTCAAAAGACATTCGACAGTTGAAAATGTTCCTTCGTAAGTAGGTGATTAGAATATCCTAAAAACTTCAGCTCAAACGGATGACTTTCCTCTAAAGATATCGAGTATATAATAATTGCTGATATCTTACACGATAAGCCATAGAAATTTTTAGAATATTCTACTAACTATGAGACGAGCCTCTGAACAAAACTCAAATGTTTACGAAGTGCCGTTCGACACTTGGAAATACTCTTTCGTTAGCATAAAATATTAGCTTATTTATTAATCACTAAAAGACAATGGATTGAGAGTCAGAAGTATAATTTTTCGTTGCTGCTGAATATATGTTCAGATTTTCTTTCTGGGGTAAGATTGAACAACTATCAGTAAACTTTGTGAAGAAGTCCAAAACTATGCCTGTAAAAAGCAAAATAATGGCTTGGACATAGTTCTTAGTTTGCTTCTTGGAATAGCTTTAATTCAACATTAGTTTTATAGTTATCGAAAACAAGAATTCGAAAAACTTTCGCCTGCATCTCTCTATTCCATATCGTACTCTCATGTTAGATCTTGAGAGTTTATCTACAAAAATACAACAAATACTACGACATTTTTTTTTCTTGTGAATTATTAGTTCCTCAAATTGAAGAAGAACAATCAAAAACATCTTGTCCTAGTTCAAGTGTTACATTAAAACCTTGTTATTTACATTTATCAAAAGAAATATTAGAAAAAACAACTTTACGTAAAGTTTCTCATCCAATTTCACGTTCATATTCAACTTATGGTTCAATGTCACAATTAAATGATCATGATACAGAATCAACAACATTACATGGTAAAACTTCAATTATTAATGAACAATCTCTTGATGGTTTATCATCATCAGCAGATACTTCAATTATTATTGAAAATGAATATGATCATCGAACATCATCTAAAATTTATAATGATTATAAACGACGTACATCATCAATAACAATACCAAAAACTAATACATTAAATAATAATTATAGTCATTCAGCTATAATACATCCAATGCATACACATATTGGTGTACGTTCATCAACAACATCATCATCATCAAATGATAAATTAAATGATAATACATTATCAAATAAAAAAATGAATCTTTGTGTTATTAATCAACTTAATGAACATTTATCAACACGTTTTCGTCAACAACAACAACAACAAGAAGATATATGTTTAACGAAAAATAATAATAATAATGTTCTTTTAGAAAATACAACTAATCATCAAAGTTATGATTCACCACCTGAACAAAGAATAGATGACATTCAAACAAATCTATATGATGAACCTCATCATATTGAAATAACAAATTCATCAACAATAAAATGTTCTGATATACCAACATCTTCAATACCACTACCACCACCACCACCACCACCGTATGTATTAATTAAAAATATATTTGAGTTTTTTTTTTTTTTGGTTTTTCTATATAAACAAAATTTTAATTTAATTAACTATATTTTAAAAGATTTCTTAGTACTTTTATTTATTGATCAAAAGTTCTATGTCAATGTCCTTATCACAAAAAAAAAGAAATAAGAATGTACTCGATTGATTCGTTTGATTTAATCTTAATTCTATTCTCTATAGATATATTAATCGAATATAAATATAGAATAGATGAAATAAAATATTAATCTTTATTGAACATGATATATATTTGTGTGTGTGTTCTACTGTCGTATAAAATTAATTATTATAATAGTTTAGTGTTAATCAATAGATATAACTTAATTGAAACCTAATCAACCAAATATTTATTGTTTTTCGAAAGAAAAATTCAATCAATAATAAATTGATTTATTCCACTTCGATAGAAATCTCGTGATTGAATTTAAAAAAACAAACAAAATAATCTATTTCATATCTGTAAAAGAGTAATATTTTATTATTATTTAAAAAAAATGTATACATCTATTTTATTGAATAATAAAATTTATTTATTAAATAAATATTATACAACAGATATTCTATTACAGATTACCAATTGGTGGTTTTCGGCCAGTTCTATCACAATTAAATCGTTCATTAAGTTCTCAACGAACATCAATAATGACATTACCACGTGAAACAAATAGTTCTGAACGTGGATGTAGTACAGGTACATCAACAACTTCAAGTAAATTATCTGATGCACGAATACTTCGAGAAGTAAGTGAAATAATATTAATTGATTTGAGAAACAAAAACAAAAAAAAAAAAAAGAACAACACAAATCCTAATTCATAATTTAATATATAGTTACGTACAAATCCATTATTTGCAAAAGCTAAACAACATCTTGAAATAGAATCAGATTTAAATAGTCGACAAATAGCAAATGAATCACCATGTTATGTAAGACTTGATAAATGTTCGAAAGGTATTTTATCAACAATTGAAAATAATAATTCAAATGAATTATTAAACAATAATAATAATAATAATAATAATACGAATGTAGAAACATTTATAATGCGTCCTGATGAATTAAATACAATTATGAATAATACAATAAAACAAACAAAATTATTGAACAGTACAACAAAAGATCTAAATCAAATTAATTCAAGAACATTGATGAAATCCTTTCAACAAAAACAATGTCGACAATCAGAACTTGAACTTATATTTCAAGTAAGAATAATAATACAATCTAATGTTTTTTTATTACTAAGAAAAAAAAAAAAAAAAAACTAACTCGATCTTTATTTTGTATAAATAGAATCTTCAGAACATAGAAACTATGTGTCATTGAATAATACTATATAATTTTTTTGTTTTTTTGTATGATCTGTTTTATATCTTTATTTATTTCTGTTTGATTACAAACATAGAACAGATCTGTAATTTATCGAATCGATAGTTTTCAATTGATATTCTGTTTTGTTTTTTTTTTTGTATTTTTAGAAACGTGCACAACGCAATGAACAAAATCCGACATGATGAATAATTATGATTATTTTTGTTTTGTTTTTGTTTTCTTTCCTAATTTCAAATAAAATGCATTTAGATTCAGTGAAAATCTTTTATATATATATATATAATGTGTCGATTATCAAAGACATGTTACTCTTGGCATAGAAACATCACGACAATTACAATAATCAAGAAGAATATTAGTTTGTGGTTTATTATTGAATTGTTCTTCTTGTTGTTGTTGTGGTTGTGGTTGTGGTTGTGGTTGTTGTTGTTGTTGTTGTTGTAGATTTATATTTCTATGAGAATAACTTGTTAAAAATCGAAGTTTTGCTTGATTTTTATTTTGTATATTTATTAAAACAGTTGCTGATGATGATGATGATGGAATAGTTAAATGTTTATTTTTATTATCGAAATTACAATCAAGATTTTCAGCTGATATAACTGATGATGGTCGTTGACAACGATAACGTAATAAATGTAAATTATGATATGACATCAAAAAGGTTCTTAAACGTGTTGGAAAACATCGACATAAATATTTAATAAATGCACGGCGAAATTCACGTGAAGAATAAGCATAGATTATTGGATTTACACTGGAAAAATAAAAGCAATATATTTATATATTAATATTGGATAGAATATTTACCTTGAATTAATATAACCAAGCCAAGTAACCAATTGGAAGAAAAGATCATTTCCGATTAAAAATTCTTCTATTCTATTTAAAGGAGTTTTTCCTTGGAGAAATGATTTTGTTATAGCAGTTAGAGGATTATAAACAAAAAAAGGTAACCAACATAGTACAAATATTCCCATAACATAAGCAAGTGTTACTGTTGCTTTTTGTTCTTTAGAAAATTTTGTTAAACGTTTACCAAGTGTTTGACGTGATTTATCTGATGATATTTGTTTTTTATTAATTGTTATTTGATTATTATCATTTGTTATTGAATAATGCGATACAGAATTATCTGTATATGATGATTCTCCATCAATTAATATACCATGATATTTACCACGATGTATACGTAAACATACATCCGATGAACCATTTATTATTGTTGAATTTTCTTTATTTATTTTTTGTTTTGGTATTCTTGTTTTTTCTGTTGTTATTTTAACACCTGTTTTAAATGCATGTAATTGTTTTATAGCAGCACGATATATTCTTATATAAACAAAAATCATTACAAATAATGGTATATAAAATGATATTAATGATGATACTAATATATAATAAATATCATCAGGAAAAAGACAACGATCAATTTGATATTGTGTTACAACTAAACGCCAATAGGCAATAGCAGGAAATGAAATAAAACCTAATATTAAAAGAATAGATAAATTAGAAAAAAAATTTTTTTTTAAATTTACCTGAACATAACCAAACAGCTGCAATAAGATAAGGCCAACGTTTAACAAAAAATGCACGATGATATGATATTGGATTTGTTATTGCTGAATATCGATCCAAAGCAATAACACATAAATCAAGTATTGATGCTGTACTTGCACATACATCTATTGAATGCCATATATCACAATATGTATTACCAAATGGCCAATATTCACCATAGATGACTTGAATAATAGCAAATGGCATGACAATTAAACCAACAAATAAATCAGCACATGCTAATGATGCCATATAATAATATGTAGCTAATACAAAAAAAAAACATTTTTTTTTTTTTTGAAAAAGATAATTTCAATGTTTATAATATTCATTTTAAAATAATTGAATATTAACAGCAAAAATTTTGTTTGTATGTTTTTTTTTTTCTTTTATGACAAAGTAATTTAGTTTTTCGTATATGATAGTGTAATCCTTATGGGAGTTAGATGTGAAATATGATTTACATACTATTGCTAATCAATGAAAGATTCTTTTATTTTATATGAATATTTTGGAACACATATATATATATTTCTATCATTCTTTTTCTTAATCTGACAGACATGCAATAAGGAAGTAGTTCATCTAAAATATAACGAGGTATTATTCATATACGATCTTTCATTTTATGTCAATAACAACATATGTTACGGTCTGTGATAGTCTATTGGAAAACATTTGTCGCGATCTGTAATGATCTTTAACAGACGTTTGTGATGGTTTCTAACAGGCTATTTTGATAATTTCTAGTAGATGTCTGTCACAATCTGTTCGAGAGAGAGAGAGTCCAAAATGTTTACCCTAATACTTTAATACTCATTTTTAATCGTATTTTACAAAAAATATTATTATGTATCTTCTTCTAAATAAGAAATTTTTCTATATAAAGACAGTATAACTAATTCTGATGCTTGTGATTACAATTTCATGTTAAAAAATATTCATGTCAGATATATATATGTATATACATTGAAGCATTCATAATTTAATGACTAATTGTATCTATGTTGTAAATATAATATTTATTATAATGATTTGATCTTCTCAGACAGATTTAATTAAAATCTTATTCAAAACAATATTTAAATAGATATAAAAAGTTGAAAATAAAATATGTACCTGATTTTAAATATCGTTCTTGAATAACAGCATAAATAACAAGTGCATTACCAAATACGGTAATAATACAAAAAAATGAAAGAAATATAACTAATATTGAATTTTTTAAATCAATATTTTGTTTTGTTTCATATAAAGAAATATTTAATGAATATTTAAAAATGTCTGTTAAATTGTGAGTTGTTAAATTGGTAACTATTGGCATTGAATTTTTCAAACAGATAAGAAAATAGAAAATGGATCATCATAATGTTTATCAACGTAATCGTTGTTCTTCTGTTGACATTTTTTTACAAGAGGCAAAATATCTAAAAAAAAAAAAATTAGAAAAAGTATTTTCATCGACAGTCTATAATCTAAGTGTATGAAGAAATAAAACAACATAACATATCAAATCAAAAATCTTAACAATCATTTTACACACCCGCATAGTATCAGTAATAAATTGAATCCTGTCACATCATTGATAACAGTCTAAGATAAAAATAAGACATAAAATGTTTGCTATATAATGTCAAACATAATGCTTGTTTTTTCTCTCGCTAAAGACAACTATATCAATTAAGCCGAATAATTATGTAGTATTTTTTATATAAATAGTTTTATAATATAGGCATCCGACACCTCACCATTTGTTTATGATTCGCATATATGCAAAACAGTAGTGTGTAATTGAGAGTAGATTTTCTTTTGAGAATAGCATGTTTTCTAGTCTATATGAATGTCGAATAAGAAAAAAAAATGTGAACTATAGTAATGTTCTATCTCCACAATATGTCGATCAAGTTTATGTTAGACTTGTCAACCGACTATTTTAATATGCAAAAGAAAAAAAAAAAGATAAAAATGATTGAAAGCATCTTGTTTTATTAACGCGTAATAGACAATGTCATTCATGGTTAACTATTTTCTTAGAACTTTTAGTTTTCCTTTTTCTCAATGTTCTTCATCTTATATTTTTTTTTTGCTTGCTAACTGTTCATGTTTACACACTGTTTCATTATCATTTACAGACATGATTCTATAAATGTTCTATAAAATGAATAAGAATAACTTATATGTATGATAGTAATGAACATCTCGACATATTATACAATTAAGATATAAGAGAAACTAAATTAAATTGTTGTACATTGTCATATTCGATAATATAATAACAATGAATAGACTTTTCTTTTTTTTTTCTTTTGAATTCTAAGAAATATTTTTCTTTTGAATATTTACAAGTATTTTGTTCTATTTTTTCTTTTTCGTTACTATATAGAAGAAGATCATATTTCCATCTGCATAAGAGTAAAAATATAAATATTAGAATAAATAAATTTTCTAAATAATTTATGAAAAAAAAACAAGTCAAATAATTGATCAAAATCAAATAAAGATGATGTCCATAATTTATTGACTTCTATTGTTAGAAAACAATTTTATAGACTTATAATAATCAATTACTGAAATGAAGGTAATTTTCTACTACAATTTTAAATTAATCACAAAATAATTTACATCAACTACTTTATATTTTCTATTCAAGAAAAAACTGATTTTTTTTTTTTTTAAATTTCATTGATAATAATATAGAAGAATAAATATTTATCAAAAGAAAAAAAAAAAGTGAAAAAAACATTTTAGTCTTTGTAAGATATACTTCTATGTTTCTTTTTTAGAAACAACGCAGTTTACAATAACTAAATATGTTTGGTTTATTAAGAAAGACTATATTCAATTCTTCCTACCGGATGTTCGATTTCATAACAACTATAATAATGGAAGTCGGCTCTTTTTTTTTCTTTCTTTTGTTAAAGAGTTGAACGAGCCTATCAGTCAAAATATGAATGTTTATTATATGTAATAAAATGGTCATACTTTACTATTCGTCAGACGTACTTTCATATCTGCTAAATATCATTATAACTTTTCTTATATAGGTACATAGAAATGACTATAAGAAAGAAAAAAAAAATTAATTAAATAAAGTAGAAAATCTACTTTTCATAGAAAATAATATAAAGAAAATCTTTTTTTCTAATAAAAACAAGTATCAATATATGAATCAAATGTTCTTATATATTTACTATTTTTTTATTAATTCATCAAACGAATATAAATGCATATTGTTCCGTTCAACTAAAGAAACTTATTTTAGAATGTCAATAATTAGATTCATATTCACTATATATATATATATGAAAAAGCCTAGTCAATATTATTTCAAAATCAAGTTGACATTCATCAACGATTTAATATAGTATATATCATCTAATACAAAAAAAAAATGGAAAGAATCTGATTTTCTTTTTTACATGATGTTAAATACTTGCTTCCGACATCCGATTTATTCTTCCTAGTTACATATCTTATTTGACTATGTACGTAAAAAAATAAACGGAATATTTTATATACATACATTAAGAAATAAATCTCTAACTTCTTTTTTTTTTTTTTCTTGTCTCAGTATGTCATCATTCACATCTGTTTTTCATATTTTATACAATGAAGTAGATCAAAAAAAAAAAGAAAAAACACAAGAAAGAAAACTATATATATATTCATACGATATTGATGGCACTATTATACTTAACTTAGATGGATGAATATTACATGAATGTGTCTTCTTATTAGAAAAGAAGAATATTAATTTTCACCTTATATAAATACATTAGTAAAGAACATTTATAACATTGACTTATTCTTCTTTTTCGAAATATATATATATAAAATATTCCAGTTAATTTATTATTCAAATATGATAATAATGATAATGAAAATTCATTTTGTTTTTTTATTTTGACTACATACGTGATGGTACATTTAGTTAACCTACAATGACAATACTAATAATGATGAAATAAATGGATATATAGTAATGCAATTTAATAGATTATATTACTTAGCATAAGTAAAGATTTTCTTCTTTCTTTGCTTAATTTAGTGACACACACAGAAAAAAAAGAAGAAAACACGACACTTTGACATTTTTTTTCTTGCTCTTTTAATGTTGACCTTCAGAAAATAAACTTTTAAATATATATTCAGAAAAAAAAAAGAAAAAGAAAGAATATTTAAGAAGATTAATAGCAAATATCACTAATTATCAATTAATAACGAGTTTCTAATTATTTCGGTAAAATAAACAAACATTAGTTCTTTTTCTTTTTTGTTTTTATGAATTGTCAAAAACAGAAATACACATATGCTTTATATGTTGATCTGTCAACCAAAAGGACAAAATAAACATAATACGAACCTTCGATTAATAGAGAAATATTTTTGTTTATATTTTTTACTTCTAAGTACTTTATTCATATCGAGGTATATGAAATATTTTTGCAAACAACAACCACATCAAAAGAATTACCAAAAAAGATAATAAATGGCTGGATTCTTCTTCAAAAGGATATTCTATTGAACATATAATTACATGAATGAATTTGTTTGACGTTGACGATTGCTTTTATTGGATTATAGGGAAAATGTAGACAAAAAAAAAATAAAAAGAAACAAAGCTAAAGCTATCTATTACTTCTTAAATACAAAACATTCTAAATGAGTTTTTCATATCAATGCGTAGGTTAATCTTCATCGAATATAAATCTCAAATATCCTTATATGAAACTCTAAGACTTATATGAAATTAAAATCTTAAACTATATTATATGTGATTATTTTTAGAAATCATTTCATGTCATAATCTATTAAATTCTTGTTTTTTTTTAAGTTAAAAATTAGTTTAAATTGTTATGGAAAATTTTATTATTAGGATCAAACTTAAGTTAAGCTGCATACGTTTTTTTTTTTTGTCTTAATATTCTATAATTGAACTATGTAAGATTTAAAAAGCTTTGTCTATGTCTAACTCTCTTATGAGAATATCATAATAGAAGTCATACTTTTTATTAAAGCATATAACTAATAACAATATACTTTTCAATAAAGTGTAAGTACTTGATTCTAACAAGTATCACGTTTAATACATAACGTGTTTATATATTCAAAACGAAATATTAAGATTAGTGTTGCAAGACATTCTAGTTGATTAAACTCCTACATAGACGAATGCAATTAATGATGCCTATAACACTGATATCAAGTGTACCTCATAGATCTTAACAATTGAATTAATTTATTGTCAAGTAGTCATGGAAAATGATAGATGCACATTAGACTTACAATTGTCATTCAATCTAATTAACTGTGATAGATATAATAGAAAAATTGCCGAGAAATATGAACTATACCTTTTTCTTTTTTTTTTTTTCTTTAATGAGAGCAATACTTGTAAACGATGTTTTCTCTTGTTGTTTCTTTTTCTTTTCTCTTGTGTGCGTAGTGTTTTCTTCTTCCTTTACATTTATGGGAACATCTTATATTTTTATCCAGTCATTTTTTTTTGCTTCTAATTAGTTATGTCATCGTTTTCATTCTATTTTCTTTTTCATATTTCCGAGATTTTTTTTTTTTTGCTTTTTCTATATTCCTATTGTTGTTCATCATTCATGTGTTAGTAAGATATTTTCTATAAGTAGTTCTTCGTAACTTTGAGAACTTTCGTCTATGTTATTCTCAATATGTTCATTTGTCACTCTTAGGCTTTCGTTTTTCTTTTGCAAAGGGAAATCTTATGATGAATTATACAATAAAATCAGATTAGTTCTCTTTTTTTTTATTAAAAGCTACTTTTGAAAAGTCGGAAACAAAAACAAACAAAGAACATTGAATAAAATAAAAAGAAAAAAAGTAATTTTATTTTGTTAAGATCGATATTGATCACGAAAAAGAAAATTTTTCCATGATGACCATCGATCAGAATTTTCATATAAATAAATCATTGAACGTGTTAATGATGGTTGTAAAGTTTCTCTATGACATTCAAATAACCAAAGTACAACACCCCAAATAAATGCTGCAAACCATGGAAAAATTGGTCGTTGAGTTTTTGGTAACCATGAACGTTTTTGTGCATAACGTGCAAAACCAACAATTATACGTGAAAGTAGATATAATATAATTTGTTCATTAACACTATTATGTTTATGAAAAACAAAATAAGCAACAATAAATGCACATATAAATGAACGAAATGGTTTTGATATATTAAATATTGATGCAATTATTGTTCGTAGTGTTTTATAAAAAAATACAAATAGACCTAAATTTTTTGAATGTAAATATGTTAAACGAATAATAAAACGAATTCTTTGTGACCAT